CCGCCGACCTTCCGATTAACGGCCAACCTGCTCTACCCCCTGAGCTACAGCCTTGTTTCTAGTGCTGCAGGCTCACTGCAAATGACACTTGACTCTATGCCCCTTTAAAAAAATTATAAAACAAAGAATGATAGCTCCATGGTATAACACCAAAACCTGTAAATTAAAGCAAACATTGTGAAAACTTGAAAGGAAATGGTGTTCCACCAATTTCTATTGAGCCATGTATTCCTTCAGCCTTCAGTTGTAACGACTTCATGTTGTTACAGCCTTAGGCTTGGATAGATTGAACTTTGCCAAAAGACCATTGGCACTAACATTGGCCATGTTTATCAAGTTAGATCCACTCTGAAGGGCAAAGCCATTCTTAGGGAGGAGGTACACTTTCCCTAGGAGGGCCATGTCAAACAGATATTTGAGTTAATTTGTTCCGTCAGCTGTTTTTAAACATGCTGGAGGCCCAGTTGCTGTTGCACACATACAACTGATGGACACACTATATTATGATAACATCTACTGTATGTCATATGTATTTTGGTATTTCTATTGTATTTATTTGTTGTCTGATGTGTATTAACTACTGTATGCAAACCAACTTGCCCCTTGGAGACAATAAAGACTATCAAATCAAACTCCCGATGAAGTGAGACAACTCCTGCATATTTGGGCTGAACAGAACTTTTCTCACATACTATAGAATGTTTATAAGAACACTGAGGAATTCAATATATGTTCAGTGAGAATGGATTCCAGCGCTCTGTGTTGTGTGAATTTTAAAAAACTGCATCAACAGTACATCAAAGTACTGTAGTATTTGGAGGGGTTAATTTTTTTACCCACAGACTGTATAAACAATAATCGAACACCAGTTCCATGGCTTTAGTTTACAATTTCTGGACCATTTGTGTTATATCATCGCATTGATTCGATTCAGGAACCAGGCCTTTAGGTGTGAACCTGCCCTAAGCCATCAACTTTTCTCTTAGACCCCATCCCAACTTTGCTGCTTAAAGATGTTGTACCCTTAATTAGCCATCATCACCTCTTTTTAAAAAACCTACTATTGACCAATATCTAACCTTGCCTTTCTCTCAAAGATCCTTTAAAAAGCAGTCATCAATCAACTGTGCGACTTTCTACATAGCAATAGTTTATTTGAAGATTTTCAGTCAGGATATAGAGTGAGGGAATTGCCCACAGTTCACAGCGTTGTTACGTGAAACACGGGGGTTACCAGGGGAAACCCGGAAGCGAGAGAAAAATCAGGCAAATCCGCCTCATAAGAGAAGAAGAAGAACGGTAAACAAACAAGCATGGAAACCAACGCTGATGCTAACATTGTAAGACAAAAAAGTTTTCATAGATTGTAGCTGGTACATAGAACACATGGAGTCAGATGAATGCAATCACCTTATTACACACTTAGTTTATTCAACTATTTATTTTAGTTTTTGCTTAACACTGCTGTTTTGACCAACAATAGTTCATTGATTGACAAACGTAGATTGACAGTTAGGCTACCTCTCATCCACTCAGGGCAAGAGCCTGAAAGACGTATAAATCAGGCCGTTAGAAAGTAATAAAACAAAAAATAAAAAGTGCAACATGTTTCCGCATTGTCAAGGTAACATGATAATGTCTCAAAGTGCTGTCCTGTTCCTGTTCACAGCATTTTGAGCCCTTGCAGCCTCTTACAATCAATCATTTACCAGGTGACTTCAGAAAAGTCTGCGAGGGTTCAGGGCTCAGAGTTTAGGGGGGACATTGGGATTGGGCCTGGGTCTTTGCTTCAGTTGTTGTGAGGTTGTTAGTTCATGCTGCCGAGTGTCTTTCCCCCTGTTTTGGACTGTCTGTCATGTGGATTTACCTTTTGGATTTATGCTTTTTGGATTTCTGTTTATTCTTGATCTTTGGATTTGATTTCCTGGACTGCCTGCCACCCGTTTTCCTGTAAGTGTCTGCATTTGGTTCCAAATCCCATTTTTATTATGTCTACGCTTGCCATAATATAACACCAATCCTATTCACCTTATATGCTTCCTTAAGGCAATATTATCAGGAAACACCCCATAGCCTTTCATGGTTATGCAGATGATACCCAATTATTTTCATTGATCAACCCAGATGAAACCAATCAGTTAGCTTTAAGCACGCCGTGAGGACGTAAATGACTTGCAATTTTCTGTAATTTTTTTTCCTAGTGTATGTTACACTCAGACACTAGAAATGAAGTTATGAGTCTAGATTCTGCTTAAGGTTTCTATCTGTTAAAGGGAAGTTGCCACTGTTGCCAAGTGCTTGTTGATGGTGGGAATTGTTGGGTCTCTGCTCTATATGAAAAGTGCAGTGAGATAACTGGTGAGATTATGGTGCAAAAATAAAATTTAATTAAATAGTTTTACTGTTAATATTGCAGTGTACTGGATGTACAAACTCATACTACTGTGCACCGGAGTTATGGTATAGTTTTGCACATGTTACGCCTAAGAGTAAGATTTTATTCTAATTCTTCCATTCAGCATTTAGAAGGAGTGCTAGTGTTATGAAGCAGGTAATAAATCAATGTTTTAGAATCATTCATGATCAATAATATTGTTTGATAATGAATATAAAGTAACACAGTTGTAATCATATAAAATATTAACATGAACTACTTGTTTGTTTTGTTCATAGTGTGTATGTATGTATGTACACACGCAACAGTTTCAAAATGTTTCATGGTCACATATCACAGGGGAAAAATGCCCACACAGTGACAAAAATAGAACTATTACAACATCTCTCATTTGTCTGATGATGAGATCACTACATGTAGAATAGAGACACGGTAAGATTTCTCACAATTAACAGAAATTACAAGAATATAGGCAACAACAATCATAAAGATGTTACTTATTATAAGGCTAAATATGATGTATTTATTTGGTCCAGAAAGTAACTTCAGCCAAAGAGGTGAAATGTCACTCACTGGTTTAAGCAGTATAACGACAGTTCTTTGTGTGTCCTTGCTGCTGAAATGAATGTTCACTCCCACACACACACACACAAAGATTTCTATTTCAGTGCAATAACACATTTATTTCCTTGTTCCATTGTGCCTCTGCTGGCTCAAACTGAGCTGTGTGCCCAGCACAGACGTGTGCATGAAACCACCCTTAGGTAATGGATCTGTGCAGCCATTGATTGTATAGGTTTGATGCTGACGCCGCTCTGTCTGAAGGGGAGGGGTCTGCACAGAAACCCCTTCTCTGGGGGTCTAAAGGCTGTTTTTTTATGAATGAAGTGAATGCCAGCTACAAATTAACCACACGCTCTCTCAATAGATTAACTCTCTGTGGGAGGAAGTCATGCAGTTATGAAAATAAATGTCTTGGACAACAATGTGCATTTTGACGACATTCCTGTTAAATTTCAGAAAGCTAAGATATGGCTGACATTCACTGAGCATTAAGCTCAGTGGCCAGTGTTATGCAGCGAGAGCGCTGAGAGCAGGCTCCAGGACCGTGGGAAAGGTCCTGCACGTAAGGCACTTTATTCTTTGTGTCTGTTGTTCTTGTGTAATTGATCTCACTCCACGTCCATGGCGGAGTGCTTCAAAGCCCCACACTTTTTATGGCTGCACCATTCCATCAAGGGAAAATATGCTACATGTCCTGTGCATCATTTTATATACATTTCCCAAAATTAAGCCTGATATATTTGGTATCTTTGAAAACTTTAGGATATCCTCTAGAATTTAAGATAAAGTTATGTGGGTTTGGACAATGCAAGCTGAAGACAGAGTTATCTGTTTTGTGAAGGTTACAGAAGTATTAACAGACAGGAATGTTACAGTGATGTTACATGTTTGTTGTGTAGCCTATACGCTGGAGTCTTCCTTTATAGACATGTTAGAAACAATTCACCCTTCAGGTTTTACTTAATAATTTACATAAAACTGTTCTAAACAGGGAGATTCATTCACAGATGAACTGTGTTAAATGAGTTAAGTTTTAAACTAAAAGGCATAGACTAAAATAATTGTAGAAAAGGGCAATGACTTCTATGTCTAAGTCAGCTGATATTTTCAGCTTCACATTTGAAAATGGAAATTTTTACATGTGTAGACATTTCAAAGACATTTTAAAATGCAGACTCACAACTTGTGATTTAATTTCACATGTGCAAATTTTTCACCTTTGATTGATGTTTTTAAAAAGTCACAGTGATTCTTAATCCACATTTTACTTTTTCATTAGGGATATCTATTGTTTTCAAAAGACATTAGGCCTAGTAGTTATTTGTTGTTACACTTGGTTACAACTACAAGTGGGCTGAGTAAATATAAAAACAATTTTTATTAAGCTTTGCCAGTCAAAAGGCTGCAAAATGAGAAATAAAAACTCATTGATCTAGAAGCTGAAATGTCTACTGCTGCTGCTTGTTGCCTGTTCATTCTTCTTCCAGAGTTATTGCGATTACCTCCCCATCAAAAAGCAAGTGGGGTAGGCCTACTTCATATTTCACAGGTGAACTCTGAATGTGTCCCACAGCAGCGGATTCCAGTGAAACTTGTGAAAATGTGAATTTAATTCATAAATGCTGCCTGCCATGTCTGGCCTGCAGCCAGGATTCCGTCTCGTCTCTGTTTTCTCTGGCTCCCCGCCAAGCCCCCCCCCAAAGAGGTGATTTCTGCCCCCCCCCTCTTCTTTTTTTAAACCCATCCTCACTGAGTGGGGCCTGTTTTGGAGTGGGTTGGATGTGCGGTTATTATGCCCACACTTCTCAGACGACCCGCGCTGTCAGCTCGCTGCTGCATGGTCCTGCCCGGTGCCGCGGTGCGTTGTAGCCGAGTGTGAGCTGGAGGTGCTCGGTGTCTCAGACTCAGCTGTCCCCGGTGTTCTGCCTTCTTACGCTCATTGACCTCAAACCTTCAGCTGCTCACTGGCTTCTTTGGTGAGCCTCAACGCCGCCAGTCCTCCTTCCTGTGGAAGACTTAGGCTACAAGTGGACGACAGACCTGTTAAAGTGCCATTGGAAGTATCCACGTAGGCTGCCTCCATTTCTTTTTTTCCTTTCTTTTCTTAAGTCTTTTCTGTTCACCGGGAGAACGGCGGAGCTGCAGCACCGGGAACCATGAGCGGACGCGGGGACGAGGCCGGGGAGAGCTCTGGCTCCCAGGAGCCAGCGGGGGCCGCGGAGCCCCAGAAGAGGAGGCCGGGGAGACCGCGGAAGCCCCCAAAAGTAAGTCGGAGTTCGTGACTTACTGCCGCTCACAGAAAGCGCTCTGTGGACGGGCAGACGTCCTGTCGCTGCTGTTAGAATCAAATCCAGATTGTAGGCGATCTGCACATGATCGAGAAGTCCTGGGACGCTTTACTTTGGGGGGGGGGGGGGGGGGTTGAGGGAAAACTTTAGTAATGAGGTGGTTAGTTGCCGCTCTAATTAATGAAACAACACAAATGGCATATTCTGGATTTGTATTTGTTCCCTGTTGACATCGAAGCAGGGTGTGCATTCCACCGTAACTAGCCTACTTCCCTCATGGCTCCTGCAGGCTACAACTTTCTATAGGCAATGTAATGGAACACAGCATTTACAGCTGCTGTTTTGAGTGCTGGAGAGACTACTACTTCTGCACAAATGATGAGGAACGCGCCTGTTTCCAGTCTTGGCCGATGACTTTTAATTGACACCATGAAATGAGTAAAAAATAAATAAATAAATAAAAATAAGTAGCCTATGTTGATGAATGGAATTCTGCAGATCTTCCATGAGCTGAATCAGAGATGCCATGACAACATGACAACAGAGGGCTTTGAACGTGTTTATGTGAATGTGTTTATGGTTGTGATTCGTTGGTGAGTCACATTGCAAAACAAGTCAATTGACACCGCAGGCTGCAGAAACCGGACACTAGGGTTGCTTTTAAGGGGTTTTCTTTCAGAAACACAGCAGCCTACAGCAGTTGTTAGATGTAGAGTTATACTTGGGGGGGAAAAAAGGTCTTGAAACATTAGGCCTATGAAGTGAAGTGACACTACCAGACTGCTTTGGGTTATTTGGATAATAAAAACATTGATGGGAAGTTCAGTTCAAAAATTAAACGTGCAGAATAATTGATCCCTCTCATAGGCTATTTTTTCCCCTCTGTGGAACACACACACACACACACACACACACACACACACACACGTTGGCCCTCTTTTGGTCTTGAGCCATAAAGCAATGAACAAATGGGGTGGGTGGCAATGTTGCCTGTCCTCAACACCACGTCATGTTCCCTCTTCCTTTCAGGAGCCCACTGGAGAGCCTGTCCCCAAGCGACCGAGGGGCCGTCCCAAAGGAAGTAAGAACAAGGGCCCCTCCAAGGCAGCTCAGAAGGTGAGGAGCCTCAGCACCTTAATAAAATATTTATTATTATTAGTGGGGATGCTGATTCAACAGCATTGTTGTTTAAATCTTTATTATTGGTGTGAATGCTCAAAGTGTTCACAAGATATGTTCTTGTATTTATTCGTGTGAGTGCCGACTGTTGAAAGGCTGACACTACACTGGATTGTTGGCTTTAAATCTTGAATAATACCAGTAATGGCTACTGCATATTCAGCACTTCCTTAGGCCTAACTCTGTTTCAACACATTCATTTCTAACACATGTCAAGAACCATTCATCCAATTGACCTCACATGTGGCGGGTGTGTTGCTGCAGACCCAAGGGAGTTCAGTGTCCTGTTTGGTGCAATTTGGACAAGCGACAAGTTCAGAATAAATCGGCTTTGAATTTCTATAGTAGGCCTACAGCACGAGCCGCCCTGCTCTGCAACTTTGAGGGCGGGGCTTTTTTGCTTTAATATGGTATTGAATTGTTGAAACGAAGTTATCATCAGGCAGGTTTAATATACTGTATATACGTTAGTATCGCATTAAAAAAGGTTAATGGAAACGGCAAAATTTGGAGAAAAAAAAATTCCTTAATTTCGCAAAAACGTTTTTACGCTCGCTTGAGGTGGTTTTTGCCTTTGTCGAAAAAGAGTAAATGCGCAAAGTTCTGACGTAGCGAACTTGTCTTGCCCGGTTGTGCAGAGTTCTACATGCCTGCTGAGAATTTCACGCACCTCGCAGCTGGTTACGCTCATTTGTGCTGAAAAAAGAGGTGGGTGCAAATCTCAGCAGGTAGCTTTCATATCTGTTCAGCCGAATTATGCATTCACCTCTTAAAGGTCCTTTTCGGATACTTTCGTCTGCACACTTATCAAACGGGGTTATCACCGTATATTTCTGCTGAATCTCAGTGCTAGGCTACTTCTACTGAGTGTAATAAAATATGAATGAATCTAAACATTCATAAAATATATGCTTCAAATCATTTATCACCATTGATGAACCTCACAAAGGATATTTTAGCGTTTAAAAGCAGTAGGCCTATTTGTAAGCGCATGCAATTCTCGGGAGGCATGCAGACCTTGGCTTAACACCGGATATTCCCATAACGTGCAGAGACAAGCCCGCTTGAAACACATTTCTGAGGACCTCTCTCCATTTTTTTAAGATCAGTGGCCATCAGGTTCATGCGAATAGTTTTGTTTCTGGTTTGGAACCCAAACGTCTTGTTTATTACAGCCATGTGTAACGTCAACTACTGACGTAACTACGCTCGCCGTAGCCTGGTTTATTCACTCCAAACCAGCTGATGGCACATATTTCACAATTTCATTTTTGCGAAATTTCAAAAGTATGCTTAAAATTTGCATGGCAATTGGATGGAAACATGGCTATAAACTGTCCTGAAAGTCTCTAAATTACATCATTGCCTATTTTGCATAATTGGCATGTAATTGTGATGGATGCTGTAGGAGAGAGGAATAAAGTCCTGGGTGAGACAAAGTGAAAAAACTTTCCTGCTGCTATAGCGAACATCCCAACAGCAGCATGTCTTGTAGTGGTGTGGAAAAGAATTGATTCTTAGGGCACCCGCAGTTCGGTTCATTTGGTCGGGACCAAGTGAAAAAAAATTTACTTACTTTAGCACAGTACACTTTAGCTTTTTAACCTATTAATCAAGGAAAATACCAAATGATTTTCATAAACATAGCCTATACATGGCTTTTACAGATCAATTACAAGACCGCTAAACACATTTCGCGGTCAGCAGATGAATTTACTTGTGGTTTAGCTTTGGAAATAATGCTAAGATCACATCTCTGCTGTCATAAAATCCTTTCACATCATAAGCAAACCTCACCAGAATTTGTTTGAAAGTGTACTGAGACTCCTATAGAGAAGGTCTAAAGCAAGCATTATACTTTGCGTGTCCACGAGGGACTGCTAGGGACCGCAAGCAATCCCTCGTTTGACCATATCTTGGAAAAATACAGCAAAATGAAAGTGACCTCAGTTTGAGCAAAAACTATATTGTGCTGTGATCGGCCAGCTGCGTATTTGGGGCGTGTCTTAGCAAAGGGTCAATTGCAGGCATTAACTGCACTACATGATTTCATAGATACATTTGGCACTATCACAAATGTAACTATTCATTTATTAACTTTTATTTACCCAGGATAGGCTCGCTGAGTATTTTCAGCTGTGCCCTTCTATACTAACATGAGTGACCGGCTCATGGTTTGGGGTCAGACCAAGCATTATTCTTCGTGATATACAGGACTCCCTTGTAAAAGAGACTCAGTGTCTCAATGGGACTTCCTGTTAAATTAAAGGTTAAATAAAAAAAGTATATATTTTTCTTTACAGTGCTGTCATCAGGACTAAAGGAGTAGTCTAAGCGTGATCTCTTCAGTTTTGTGAAAATGGGGTTGAGGTAGTCGAAGATTCGATAGGCGGAGCCTGATTTGACTGTCAAACTCACGCACCTCGCGGGCTTACGGGAAATTTATCACAGTTGATGAACCACACAAAGAATATTTTAGCATTTTTAAATAGCCGGCTACTTGAAATAGACCCGCGAGGAACCGCAACGTGCATGCAGTTTTCTGAGAAAAGGGTCTTCAAAAAGCCTCAGTTTAGCTGGAAATTTACAATGTATGTTGAATGAATAGAGACTGCAGCTCTGCAGCTTCTCCAGATGAAAGCAGAGCTACCACAACATGCAAATTTAGTTGTGAACACTTAGGTGATTGCTTTTTACAGAACTGAGCCTACACACCAAAAGAGTTTGCTATATATTATTTCATCATTACTGGAATCCCACATATCTACTAAGAAGCATGCCTGTGTGACTAGTCCAGCAGAGTCTGGAGCTGCCCTTGGCCCTGCACACTGTACCCTCATTATCCTTACCCTTACTTTTCCGCCCTGGGAATAATTGTGCAGAAACACCCACGTGTCACTGGGGGGGTCTTTCTCTCCCTATCTTATTTGCCCAGAGAGCCTATCCAAAGAATGTATAATATGTGGTGAAGAGTGAAAATTATTCAAACAATCAACTACTGTTTGAATAGAATAGCCGCCAGGTGTTCAGATAAGACACAGTGGTGATAAGACACATAGTGGTGATAAGACACAGTGGTGTGTTATCTGAACATTATGAATGTTTGAGGTGGTGGGTGAAGACACTTCTTCTTTACATTATGAAAGAACTAAATCAGTTGTCAACTAACGTTAGTTGGCTTGTGTGAATGAATCATTTGAAAATTTGCACAACTCACCATTTCATCAACGCTGACGGCATCCCTCCTCAACTTCTGAAACTTGGAGAGTGACTTATGACCTGTGGATTCTATAGGTCCTGTTTTAGCAACTTTCAGCACAAAGTGCCATAAGTGATTTGTCAAAAATATTTGGCACAAACTTATGTGGCTAATCAACATTGTCAGGAAATGAAATTTGATAACAATTCACAAAATGGACCTGAAGCACTGTACACTCAAACTATAAGAAAACTCTTTCCACATTTTTCTACATAGAAACTTCATTCAAACATCAACATATTAAGCTCAATTAGGAATTTTTTACTATCATTTAGATTTTTGATGACTTGCATACTTTCCAAATTATTCAAAGACTTCCAGGACGTTTCACACATCCAAATGAATGGACAGAATCTTCACATTTTCCACATTTTTTCACAACTAATGTCAAAATGTTCCACGTGTTTACTACGTTCTGGGTATCATTCAAATTTCAGAATGTTTTAAGTAAAGTTATAATTGGAGTCACATAGAACAACTTTCAAACAACTCGTCTTCAACCTCTTCCCACTAATTAATACATACATGTAAAAGTTCCATTCCAACTGAAAACCTTCACAATCTAAACAAATTACAATGGTCCACATCTTTTTATGCAATGGGTCCATTCAATACTATATATACTATATATATACTTCTATACCCTTTCCCATGTTTCTGAGTGTTCATTGTCCTTCAGCTACTTCTTCATGCAAACTTGAGACAGCAATTTTATCTTCCAGCCATTAGTGAAGCAATGCAGTTTAGTTCCCAGCCATTATTCATACTCCTTCAGCTGTTTTTAAATACAGAGTTAAGCCAGCAATGCAGTGTATCTCTCAGACATTAGTCAAGAAATGCAGTTCAGTCCCTAGATTACACTATATTTTGCATCCTTCAGCCCCATTCCCACAGTCCCAGCTATTCATATTTTCAACAGGGCTGGGCATGTTAGCGCGTTATTATTAACAGGAGGGGTGGGGTGTGGATCAGCCTGCAAATCAGCCGCCCAAACAAGCAGCAGAGGGAGGCTTCAGCAGACTACGCTGGATGCAGCGAGTGGGAGAAGTAGATAAACAAAAGCAAGACAAGCGATCAAACGCCACAGCGGAGTGGAGAGCTGCACACTGCAGGCTCATTAGTTTTGGGGAAGATGTCGGTCTGAGGAACTTTCTTAAAGTCACAACGTAGTCGCTTGGCCCCGCGGATTCTCTCAGGTGAACAGAAAGGGAGTCAGGGTAGTAAACAGCAGGCGCTCTATAGATAGTAACCATGGCAACGGCTTATGTGCGCTACACACCCTGTAGCCTGTTTAACTTAAGTTAAAATTAAAGGCTAACGTTACGTTCTTCTAGTTTTGCGGGGATGCTCTGCCATGTGAATTCCCTCCTGTTGATGTGCTATTTAGGAAACGGTAATAGATTACGGAAACTCACATACAGCGAGGATCAGTCTTTCTTCCAATGATGCGCGTCGAGTACAAAAAGTTCAAGACAATTCAACTTCGGCGGCGGCGGGCGTGTGCGTGAGGCGAGTACTTCACCTCACTCTAACAGGGACACTTGCTACTGAACACAGACTGTTTCTGCTGCTCCCTGATAAAAGAAAAATATTTCTGCTGATAGCTGAAAAAAAAAAACAAGGAAACAGATTCATAAATGTTAACCTGTAGCTCAGAAGGGGCCTACCCTGTTATGAT